TCAAGCGGAGCCATTGGGTGCGCTCCAGGAAAGAGCCCGCGTCAGTCCAGGATCCGTCTGGATCTGCCCCTGACGAGCGTCCGCGCCGTTTCACACACCCTGGCTGCTTCCCACCCAGCGATGGCTGCCTGCAGGACACCCTTCCAGCCTGGGCATTGCCGAGCAGCGAGCGGCGTTTCTCCGCCCTTCTGTGCCGGTGACTCCTTGGGACTTAAAAAACATGACCCCCCCTAAATTGTGATGCCCTCCCCCACCTTCAGCTCAGAGGCATAGGCTTCAGCAGCGCTCCCGTGGCTCAGGGCTGAAAGGTGAATTAGCCACGTGTGGCCTCTGGCCGGTTCCCCGGCTTCCCACGCCCCGATGCCAGGCTTGCAACCCCCCTTAGAACGATATTTGTTTCGTGCGCTCTCAGGATTGGTCCCAATTTCCCTCCACCCCAACCCGCCACGAGAATGTGAAGGCTCGTTTGACCTCTGACCCTTCCCCGGGCCTCTTCTGGTCAAGCATGCTCCCTTGCCCTCAGGACACCTCATTTCTCCCGGGCGAAGGGGCGTTCTGAGCAGCTGGTACGCTCCTAACTTCCCTCAGAATTGTCCGTGGCTGCTACAGGCCTGCAGGGACTCGTCCCCGGGGGGTGGAGGCAACAGGACTCCTAGTTGTTGTCTGGCAGGCGACTCCCACGCACTCTTTGGGGACTGCATGTGCACGGGGGCGCAGGGCAAATGTCGGGTCGGCCCTGTGCCCTTGCCCCTTGTTTGCCTGCCGTCCCCTCGCCCCGTTGGCATGGAGGAAGTGCTGCACGGTGCCCTGTGTAGTGGGACCTCGCGAGCAGAGTTGGGCGCTGTTGGAGATTTTCAAGACGCTTCGAAAATCCTTCCCGGCGTGAGCTCTGGGCCGTGTCATGACGGGGTGTGGAGCAGGGGAGCAATGCACGCGGGGTGTGCTCGGCCGGCAGGCATGATGTTGACTTTAAGGGCATACGTCGAGGAAGAGTGCTGCACGGTGCCCTGTGTAGTGGGACCTCGCGAGCAGAGTTGGGCGCTGTTGGAGATTTTCAAGACGCTTCGAAAATCCTTCCCGGCGTGAGCTCTGGGCCGTGTCATGACGGGGTGTGGAGCAGGGGAGCAATGCACGCGGGGTGTGCTCGGCCGGCAGGCATGATGTTGACTTTAAGGGCATACGTCGAGGAAGCTGGTTAAGGCGTAACTCCCTGCACGGGGGCATTGCCTTGCTGAGGGCACACGCTGACGCTGGGCGCCAGGCCGCTAATCTTCCCTCTGGCGTTTGTCACTCTGCCTCAGGTTCGGGTGTGGAGGACCCCGTGGGCGAAGTGTCCATACAGATCGACCTGTACACGCACCCAGGGACCGGCGAACACAAGGTCACCGTGAAAGGTACCGTCAAGCGGGGGGCTGTGTGCGCAGTGCGAGGCCGGGCCAAAGCCCGCGGGAACGAACGGTTCTAGGTACCGCTGTGCCCACGCTGTAGGCTGGCAGGCGGCAGGGTGTCTGATTTTGGCCAATCTGTGCTTTAAGACGACAACCCAGATGATTTCAAGTATGAAAACCAACGTCCTTTCCTGGTCCCAGCCAGCAGTGTCAGGCTCAGTCGCTCGGCTGCTCTTGCTCGACTGGACGGTGCTGTTGCAGAAAGAGAAGGTTGTTTTTTAAGAAGATGGGGCGGGGGGGTGTGAGCTGCGCCCAGCGTTGTCGGACGCCGGGGGTGCGAGCGGCTGCGCGGCAGAGAGCGCTGTGCGCTGGGTAGGGTTCTCACCTGCTCTCTCCTCTCTAGTGGTGGCAGCCAACGACCTGAAGTGGCAAACCTCCAGCATGTTCCGCCCCTTTGTCGAGGTCACTATGATTGGCCCGCACCAGAGTGACAAGAAAAGAAAGTTCACCACCAAGTCCAAGAGCAACAACTGGGCGCCCAAATACAACGAAACCTTCCACTTGTGAGTACGCACGACAGGCTGAGGGTCTGTCGAGGTCACTATGATTGGCCCGCACCAGAGTGACAAGAAAAGAAAGTTCACCACCAAGTCCAAGAGCAACAACTGGGCGCCCAAATACAACGAAACCTTCCACTTGTGAGTACGCACGACAGGCTGAGGGTCTGCCTCAGAACACGCCCGCCCCCCCGAGCGCAGGCGGCCCGGCCCGGGGACCCTGCCTCCCTCCC